AATTAGTGTAGAGACTTGAGCAAAAATATGAGCAGTTTTAGAGTCATGGTGCTAAATGAATACGAAAGTATTCTCACAACCTGATTTTTCTTTAGTTGTTTTTCCTCGTTAGCGATAGTGTCTGCATGCAACTTGCCGTGCATATGTTTGTCTGCGTGCTAATTGGCCAACTTTCACATCTTCATTTTGTCACCTCTTCTTCTCTGACAACAGCAGGCAATAAAAAAATTAAAAAAAACATAAATAAAGACGCAGGGTGATCCGAGGTGTTAATGAAACTGTCAGAGGAAGGCTAAAGATAAAGATAGCGTGCACCTGTCGTAAGCAGACAGGAGCAGACTGTTTGGGAATAACACTTGAATGCACATCTCATGATGTCCAGTAGAACAGCAAAGAAATGTGAGCATAAACTATCGCTGGAGATTTTATCGTCGCACTTTCGAGTGCTGAGGGCCGACTGATGTTCTGCACTCGAGGAAATCTAATCCGCATGAAGCGCGCTGACCTCCTGCAGGCACGCTTGCCACTCGAAGCAAAAATCACATTTGCTTTGAATTAACGTCCACATGAAAGTCAACAAACCAGCATCAATATATCAGTCGGGCTGCGCGGGCCGGCGTTTAGATCATGCACCGTAACATCGATAGGCCAAAGGCTAGGAAATCTAGGAGGGAACAAATGCCTGTAAAATGGTTCGAAACAAATCAAAACAAGGGGGGCGCCTTGATATCAAGTAAAATAATGTTCAGGATCGGGTGTAAAAAAGAAATGACTGATTTAAAATACAGAAGATAATTACTTTATAAAATCAAGCGACATCAATGGGCTCAACCAAATACAATAATTGCCGAACATCAAGTAAAAGAAACCAAAAAGGAAGTAGGGAAAAAAAATCTAATTCAATAATTTTGAAGAACACCAAAAAAATGAACAGAAACAAATACTGTTGAATAAAAATAGCAAAAAGCAAATGACACGATGCTGAAAAAAATGAGGAAAAAATAAGGAACCTCCTCAATAAAAGAATAATCAAATTAGTGTCATTAATACGGAAGTGTATTTCATGTATGCAACTCATCCCCAAAGACGATAGGCTAAACCTGCGCTAGCATGAAAAAGAAGTTCCTCCCATTTTTACACCAAGCACAAAGTTGCCAGCTTACCAAAAAGGGCCATTTTGTCGACAGTGTACAAGCAAAAAGTCAACCTATGGACTGTATTCCCAATTTCAAAATGCAAACGTCTCTGCTTCCTTCATTGATACGTACACGTGAGATGTCCACATGTCGTGATGACAACATGACTTGGTACATACGTGATGTCACTCCCCTCAGATGATAGAGCATGGGTGAACATGCAAATCTTCTCCCTGAATTACTTTTATGTTCTGTCATGCACAGTCGTTTGTTGTGTGCCTGTTGGTTCGTAAAATGGTGTTTTAACTCCTTTATTGCATGTGCAAACTATGTGCGTAGCAGACCTTGGCTCAATTTGGTGTAGTTATCAATGACTTGCGCCTCATGTTACTCACTCCAACAACCTAGTGGCAAACGTCTGCTCGTGTCTTCCCGAAAGACAGATATTGTACATTTTGCCAGGTTTCTTTATCAATGAAACTCATTAAATCTTCGAATGGTAATTTTAATCAGACTACTATAATAAATATAATAACGTGTTGGATTACCAGTCACTCAAAATGGCAACCATTCATGCCAGCAATGCTTGAGTAACGTGTCAGCTGCATCACTGGCGCTAAGTGCACATGTGGACACACTTATGTTTGAACAAGGTGTTCATGATGGAAAATAAGTGACGAGCACAGAAGTCCAATATCACCTCAATAGCACCGCACATGTTGTAATTGTGTGTGTGCGGGGGGGGGGGGCATTTCTCCCAATCACATACCTCCAGGTCTCACTGTCAGCAGAACGAGGGAGTCCCCAGCGGGAGTGGTCTCCAGCGGCCCCTCCAAGGACTCCAAGAAAGATGGGCACTCTGTCCTGCCGTTCGCTGCATCGGCACAAACAACAGTCAGGAACCGTCCACACTTACTTGAAGGCGGAGGGATGATATCCTCTCATCCAACCTTGCTTATCTCGGAGATGGGAGCAAACAAACGAGCACCGTGCCGCTTCATCAGACGGGCGTCACATGAAAACATTTAGAGGCCACATTCATT